TAGGAATTCAGAAGGGAAAAACATCTTCTGAGGTCAAACACACTCTGCAATCAAACTTTTGCTAGACAAAGACAGGTTTCTTTCCTGCAGGACTTGTCAGGGCCTGTAACATGCTACTGCACGCTGTGTGTGTAGGAATCAGGGAGAAGGGTGTTAAGGCATTACGGAAGCATTATATGTGCTGACCAGTAAGGTTAAGCACCGGACCTCTCTGGGGATAGTGCCAAGGACTGTCTCTGGGGTCTAGTGTCCCCAGGAAGAAGAGTTAACAATGCCGACAGGTGCCTTCCCGTGCCCCACTGTGTTTCCGGGAGCCGAGCACATGGTGGGCCCACGGTGCGTGTGCGTCTGTGGTTTGGAGCTCCTGAGAAAGAGTGAGCAGGCTTCTTCATGCTACGTGTATTCTGGCTCTGAGCTGCAGTAGAATCCTGGCAGGGTCGGGGCCCAGGCTGTACGGGGGAGCAGGATTTGAAAGAATACAGGCTTGGGGCGCCGGGTGGCTCAGTCAGTTGAGTGTCCAACTCTTGATTTCAGCTCAGGTCATGATCCCAGGGTTGTGGGAACAAGCCCTGCATCCCACAGGGCTTGATGGAGGCTGCTTTAGATTCCCTCTCTCTCTCTCTCTCTCTCTCTCTCTCTCTCCCCACCTTTGTCCCCTTCTCTGCTCTCTATCTAAAATTTAAAAAGAAAAGAAAAGAATACAGACTTCAGCCCTGCCAACACCAGGGACAGCGCCTTTGTCTGCATCAGAATTCTCTCTCTTTTTTTTAATGTTTATTTACTTTTGAGAGACAAAGAGAGACAGAGCAGGAGCAGGGGAGGGGCAGAGAGAGAGGGAGACACAGAATCGGAAGCAGGCTCAAGGCTCTGAGCTGTCAGCACAGAGCCCGACGCGGGGCTCGAACCCACAAACCTGAGCCAGAGTCGGACACTCAACCGACTGAGCGACCAGGCACCCTGTCCTTGGACCTGGGACTTGAGTCACAAACAGCAGGTGGTGTGTGACTGGGAGCAGAGTTTCCCAAATCGCTCCCCCCTCCCCGAGACCTGAAGGACCCACCTCTCCCCTGAGAGGAAGGGCGTGTGTGAGGTCAGCGACCTGACGCCTTCCCCACCCCGGCCTGACTGCCTGGTTTAAACTAGCATTTGTCATCTGCTGATAGATGTAATACCTGCTCACGATAGAGAAGGTAGGAAATGTGCCAAGTGACAAAGAAGAAAATAAAAACCATTTATCATCCCATCCCCTCCCGACCCAGGACAACCACAGTGATCCCCCGGTGCGTTTTCTGTTGGTGGTTTGGGTGTGGACAGATGTATTTTGAGTGTAACCAGCAGCTGTGTGTATTAGACCCCTTGGGCTGCCGTGACGGAATCCCATAGCCTGGCTGGCTTCAACATCGGACACCTTCTTTCCGGACAAATTTGGAGGCTTGAAGCCCATGACTGGGAGCAGGCAGGGCTGATGTCCGGTGAGGCTCCACTTCCTGGACGAATTCTCAGGTGTCTACACGCGGTGGGGAGAGAGCCCTGGTGTCCTTCCTCCCTGGAGGCTCAGGGCCCCACCCTTACAACCCCATTTAACCTTAATTACTCCCTCAAGGCCTCGGTCACACGAAAGGCTAAGGCTTCCACGTGTGGATCTTGGGGACACAATCAGCCTGTAACTAACCCTTCCTACGTACAACTCAGTAACCTGCTTGCTTCCAATCCACATCCTATCCCATGTTCGCCCGTGGGACTCTGGAGTCGAGTAACTCTGAGTTACAGCCCCAGGCATATCTTTGGGCAGCCTGTGACTCTGGACAAGATACTTACCCTCTCTGAGCCTCCTTTTCCTGGCCTGTAAAATGAAGGTGACAGTGGTACCAACTCCCGTGGTCATTGAAGTATCGGATGAGATGCGCTCTGGCCCACGGTACACCGCGCTCCGTGAGTACGGTCTTTTCGTTTGTATTAGGAACTTTCTCCATGGTTTGAAATAGCCTTTGATACATTTATTGTAATATTGCATTAATATTGTATTAATAGCATGTATTATAATATGCCATAGTATTATAATGTTCCATAGCATGGATATACCTCAGTTTCCTGAACCATTGGGCAGGATCCTTTGAGGGCAGCGAGAAGCTGCAGGAAGAAAGGCACCCAGGCCATTTGGAAGCCCGCAGACCGCAGGTTAACTGGGAGCTGCAGAGCTGGTGGGAAGTGGGGCATCCAGCTTCCCTACTCGGGGGACCCTGGCTCTGGAGGGAGGCCCCATGCAGAGCTCCGGGCAGATAGAGACAAAGAGGGCAGGGGGGGAGGTGGCAAAGACCAAGGTCAAGTGTCGGGCAGGACTGGTTTACGAGGATGGGAGACACAGGGGCTTAATATCCATCGTGTGGCTAGAGGTCAAGGGGAGACGCTATCCCGGAGGACGGACATGGAGTGTGTCGGGGAGACTGAAAAGCAGCCCCGTGGAAGGTGAGGGATGAAGAGAAGGAAATTCTGAGCTAGAGAAGGGGACAGTCTGAGATGATGTGAGCCAGCGACGGCCAGAGCCACTCAGGCCTGGCGTCACGGGTGGGCCCCGGTGTCCGGGCCTCTGTTCTCTGCTGCCCGCTGACCCCAGGTTTCTCCCTGACCTCCCCACCCCAGCTCTGCAGCCCCAGACAGGGCACCCTCCACAGAGCGCCGCAGGGATACAGACTCTACCCCAGGGCAGACTGCCTCCAGCCTTCCAGTGGCCTCCAGTCCTTTGCAGAGTAAACCCCAGCCTCTGCTCCCTGCGATGGCTCCTCCCGTGTGCTGGGCTCGGCTCAGCCCTCACAGCTGGGGCGCTTCTCAGCTCTAGGGTTTTTCTTCCTGTTCTTGCCTCTTTCCAGAAGGTTCTCTCCTCCTTGCCTAGCAAACTCTTGATCCTCCTTCAGGCCTTCGTTTAAAGCTGTTCTTCCTAGGTGCCCATCCGGCTCCCCCAAGACTGAGCTAGGACCCCCGCCCCCCATGATACCCTCTCCTTTGTATGCTGCTGGGCACCTATAACAATTGCCATTAATTAACGATTTGCACGATTACTGTTGTTAAATCAATAGACTTCGAGCAGTTTTAGGCTTACAGAAAATCGAGTCTGTGGTGGAGAGAGTTCCAAATACCCCCCCGTCTCCCTGTGCACAGCCCCCCCTGCCCCATGCACCCCATTTGCACCAGTGTGAAGCATCTGTTACAGCTGATGAACAGCGGTGCGTTATTATTAACCAGAGCCCCTGGTGGACATCAGGGCTCAGTCTTAGTGTTATCAGCTCTGGGGGTTGGACAAATGCACAGTGTCCCGCTTGCACCATGACAGTGTCATACGGAATGGCCTCACTGCCCTAAAATTCCCCCCTCCCCCATGTTCATCCCTCCTCCCCTCCCCCATCACCGATGTTTAGTCATTTTCCTACTAGACTCATACTCCACCAGAGCAGGGACCCCCCATTCCCCCCGCCGTTTTGTTGACCATTCCTCTCTGTTCCCAGCCCAGAGCCTGGCATATTACAGGTACCCTATATATATATATTTTTTTGCATATTTTAATAAAAACAGGATTCTACTACACACAGTATTCTGCAGTTTGCTTTTTACACATATTGACAGTACTCCTTGGAAATCTTCCCATATCAGGATCTAGAACATTCTTGCTTCCTTTTTATTTTGGAGGATTTGCAGCATGCATGCAAAAATTGAACCGCTATATACCTGTCACCCCACGCTGGCAGTCACCAGCTCACGGCGTCTCTGGTTTCATGGGTATCTCTGGCCAGGTTCCTCCCTTCCGTGTTATTCTGAAGCAAATCCCAGACACCAGATAATCTCATCTGTAAACACTTCGGTGTATGTCTCAAAAAAATAAGGACTTTAAAAAACTAGAACCCCAACACCATCACCGCCCCTCAGATAAGATTCCAATGGTCTCATGAATATGCATAACGTTTGCTTGAGTTTAGAGGCTGTTTGAACCAAGGTCCAGATGGGCCCTGCCTTTGGTTGATCCCCCTCATGAAGTGTTCCCCCCTCCAGTTCATGTGGTAAAGAACCTGGCTTGTCACTCTCGGAGTCCCCTCTGTCTGGATTTGGCTCACTGCGTCCCACTGGTGTTCCTTAGTGTTTCTCTGTCCTCGGCAGTTCCTGTAAATTCGTAGCTCGATGCAGAGGCTTGATCAGATTCAAGTTCGTTTTGCAGAGATCGCTTCCGGGTGCCGTGTGTCCTTCCCTTGGGAAGCCTCGTCGGGTTGTCTGTCCCTGTGAGATTGCAGGCTGCTGACGCTCAGAGCCTAGAGCCGTTCGTGAAGTGAGGGCTGCTACCTGGCGGCCTTCTAATCCCCTCTTCCTTCCCCGGTTATTAGCAGGGATGCTTCTATAAAAAGAAACATCCCCTCATCCACATTTGGTTACCGGGAGGTACAGTTTACACAGGACAGACAGGACATGCTTGATTCTCTCCCTTTATTTACCGGATTTCGGAATAATGAGTTGCCTATAAATATTTGAATGAATGAATGAATAATACATGTGTGGCTGAACCGACAGGGCTTTGGGAGTGGGGGCTCTCTCTCCATCTGCCCTCAAGGACGTGGGCTGAGGCTGGGGCAGGGGTGCAGCCTGAGGCCGGGGCCAGGTCTGCACGGGGAGGGCTGGTGAGTGGCTCTTGCTACCTGCCAACCTGCCTCGGTCAAGAGCAAAGGTGATTAGAATACAGCGTCTGGGTCAAGGTCGCCTGGCGACCTGAGATGCAGGTGGGCCCTGCAGACACCACCAGAGAGGGGAGCTGACCAGCAGGGGTGGCTCCGGGAGCAGCTCTATGCATCCCCGGAAGGGACTGGAATGGAGTGCTCCCTTAAGACCAGGGCAGTGGGGAATTTTTTTGTCCTGAAGGGGAGTGCTCGCCTCCTGGCCGTGCTCTCGTTTCCCGGGGGCTGTGCCCACCTGCCTCCCAAGTGCACTGACCTCTCTGGCCTCTGTGTCCCCCCACCCCCCAGGTGCAAGTGCAACCTGCACGCCAGCCTGTGCTCCGTGCGCGAGGGCAGCCTGCAGTGTGAGTGTGAGCACAACACCACGGGCCCCGACTGCGGCAAGTGCAAGAGGAACTTCCGCACGCGGTCCTGGCGCGCTGGCTCCTACCTGCCGCTGCCGCATGGCTCTCCCAACGCCTGTACGTAAGGGCGGGGCGGCCACAGCACCCCCTGCGGTGCCCCACCCCAAGTGAGGCTGCGGCCTCTCTGCTCTTCAACCTCAGGAGCTGTGGGTCACACACACACACAAACACGTGAGCACACACGTGCACACACATACAAGCGTGCGTGCACACGCACACTAACACCCCGTGTTTTACGCAGCTTCCCCAGCACCAGGCCTTGTAATTAAGACCCGCGTGCCTCCTGCAGAAATCTAAGCCACCCTTCCGGCCCCGGCCAGAGGGAAACCCAAGCTGAGCTGCTCGCCTTCCCTCTCCTTCCCCTGCAGGCTGGAGAGAAGGCACCCCAGGGTGTCCGGGGGAGGGTGGTGGAGGCTCCTTCCTCCAGGCTGTGATTTTCAGCACCACCCCTCATACCCAGCATTTGTGGGGCATTTACAACCAGTCACACAGGGGCCACATGCTGTGTGGTCACCACCCCCCTGGACCCTCAGATTAGCTCCTAGAAGCAGGTCTCCTTTTACCCCATTGTCCGGAGGGGCCCTTTGAGGCCCTGGCCTGAGATCCCTGCCGCCTACCCCGCCTTCACTCTCTGCATAGTCCTGTCCTCTGGGCTCAGCCTTCCGGGCCAGGAAAGCATTCTTCGGGGTGTAGCCCCTCTGTGCCTGCATCACAAACACCCTTCGGGGACCCCACTCACCAGGGCCCCCCAGCATCGCCCATGGCTGTTTTCATGAAGCCGCACATCCCGGGGAGCCCCCGAGCTGCAGTAGAGAAGAGCGGGGGCTGGCCACCATGTGGGTTCTCCCTGACCCCGCCTCTAGTGGCTTCACTGATGTCTGACGTTGGTCAAGCTCTTTGACGAAGACACTGCACCAGGCACGCGTACACGGCTTCTCCCTTCGCCCTCACAGCTGCCCCCAGGGCGGAATTATTATTACCCCCGCTCTCCAGATGGGCAGAATGAGGCCCAGCAGCCCTGGCCCAGCAGCAAGCTATGTGCCCATCACTGGGCATCTTGCCCCGGGACCACCCGCCCACACGAGCCTCCTCCATTGGTGCCCTCCCTCTGCCAACGTGAAAGATTTATGTGACTTTAGGCTGATCAAAGCTGGAAGCCTCGCAGCGAGGCCGTGACAGGCGTGTCGTGCCGGTGCCGGGCGACAGGCCTTTGAAGGGGTGACTTGCCAGGCACTCACAGCACTCTGGGTCTTCAAAGGCGCCCAGAGCTCTGGGCGCTGACAGCCACCCCGCCCGGCTCCCGCCCCCTGGGGGCCCGACCCATCTCTTTGTTGGAACTGGTTCTTGAGGCCTTTCTTTAGTGGCCGTCACCTCCCTCTCTGACGGGCAGTCTGCCTCCCTGCATCTGTCCTGCTGGGCTCCGCCTCCCCGCTCTCCACTCCCCCTCCCTGTCCTGCCCTCCGCCTGAAAGGATCTGCCGAAGTTTCCTGATCAGGTACCGGCACTGACTCAGACTCACAGACCTGCAGGCCACACTCTAAGCCACTGACTCTGTCCAACCAGCAACAGCCACACCACACACACACACACACACACACACACACACACACAGGCCAGGTTTTGCCTCTGGACCCTCTCCCCTCCATCCTGCAGGAGCAGGTGAAGCCCCTTGGTTTTGGGGAGTTCCTGGAGCTGGTCCCTGCTTGCCCAGAGTCCCACCCCAACCCCTGGGGAAGGAGGGGTTTCTTCTGGAATACCCGGGAGCGGAGGTGAGGCTGGAGGTGCTATGCATCCCCCCGGGACCCCCTCCTTCTCCAGGACAACGAGAAGGAAATGGCCCCCCAGACATAGAAACAAGTCAGTCCCAGGTTAATTTTGCCCTCCCTGCCTCCCATCTCAGTAAATGGCACCAACATCCAGGGGGCCAAGCTGCACATGTGGGGGGTCACCCCTGACTCTGGACCTTCCCTTCCTCTGCCACCAGCTCTGGCTCCCCATCTCCTCCCTTGCTGCTGCAATAGTGACTCTCCCCTCAGGGCCCCTCCAGTCCCCTCCCCTCTGCAAGCAAAGAGCTCTCCTCTCCAGGGCACCCCCTCCCCTCCCTGCACCCACCCCCATACCCTCAGAATAGAATCCTAACCCAGCCCAGCCCCCAAGCCGCCCTAGAAGGCCGTCTGAGATCAGGGCCTCCCCAGCTGTCTGGCAGGGTCACTCAGGCTGGGTCATGCACCACACACCCTGCTCTCCACACTGCAGCCTCCCCGCTGCAGGGCCTCCGAGGGCACTGAGGGGTGTCCTCACCCCTGTTCTTCCTTTGGGAACACTTGGTTGGGGGGAAGCCTGGCACCAGCTCCGTCCCTCTGGGGCTGATGAGCCTTATCCTGAGATCTCCAATCTCCCCGGTCAGACCGTGACACCGCGGGGTGGGGACACATGCAGACGGAAGGGCCTCTGCCACTCACAGCTGTGTGGCCTCGGACAGGTCATTTTACCCGGAGCCCCGTTTCCTGGTCGGTGGCATCAGGCCCATCCCAAGCCCTGTGTGGCTCTGTGGGCACCAAAACGCCCACGTGGGGGCCGTGCTCGGCGGGTGCCTGGCACGGAGCAAGCATTCAACACGTAGCAGCTGCTACAATTATTTTTCAATGAGTCATTGGGCCGCGTCCACATGTCCCCAGATGGGAACCCACGCAGTGCTTTCTCCCTGGTGGCACGTTCCATCGGCACCTCCAGCAGACCAGCCCGCGCCCACGGCAGTGGCCCCCCCCCCCGAAGAAAGCTCCCCCACCTCCTCCTCCTGCATGGGAGGACCTGAGAATCCAAAATCAAAGGGGGTCCGTGTGAAGCCGGGAGTGGAGCGTTTGACAGTCATCAGCAGGTGCCCCAGGGTTAAGTCACGGCTCTGAGACTTCATTTCTCCACCTGCAAAATGGGCTAAGGCGGTCCCTCCCTCTCAGGGTGGCGGTGAGGACAATGTGGGATAATCAGCTCCAGGTTCCTTCCCCTCCTGTGCAGCCCTGTGACCCTCCTTCTCTCCCCGCAGGCGCTGCCGCAGGCTCCGCTGTTGGTAGTAAGTATGCTCCGAGCCGCCGCCCAGGGGAAGGTCCCTGGGGCCCCCAGTGCGCGAGCCTCTTTGCGACTCCTGGGAAGAACAGAAGGGAAAAGATGGGGCTTCCCCGTCCCATGGCCGCAGGCCTCTCGCCACTTCTAACTGCACCCCATTCACTGCTTCACCTCTGCCTGCTCTCTCCCTTCCCCTGTGCTGTGGCCTGCAGCCGGCGCACCTCCCATTTCCCCCTGCGAGCTTCCTGGTTAGTGCTGCTTTGGAAAGGGCCCCGCAACCCCTGGGGGAACCACCCCCCCATGCCTCCCTCTCCTGCCGGGCAAGAATGGGGGGTCCCTTGTTCCTGGCCAGTGGTTAAAGTCCCCCGAGCCTGACTGTGGGGTTTGCCTCCCCCTGGACAGCCCCTTGAGGCTGGGGCAGGTAAGTGGGGGTCCAGCTCAGGCCCAAGGGGAGGGGTCGGGGTGGCAGGGGTTGGGCGTGGGTGTCGTCATCACCGTCATCACCGTCATCAGGCCACAGACTCTCAAGCGCTCACAGCACCAGGCACTGGCTAAGCAGGGTCCTTCCAGGGCCTCACTGAAACCCGGCACCCTCCCTCCAGGTGGGTACCGCCATCTGCTTTTAGCGTCAGCAGGAGAGGACTGGCCAGGGCCAAAGAGCCAGCCGGGGGCCCACCTCTCATTTCAGACATGCTTGAGCGGGGCCGCAGCCCACCCTGGGCTCTTCCCTGATGCAGAGAAGGTACCAGAGGAAGCTGGGTTCTCCAGGGGACGCTGCTCGGCTCACTGGGGCCGCACGTTGCCGCATTGCCCCCACACCCGCCGACCCCCCACCCTCTCTTGCTCTCTCATCTCTTGCCAGGCATCGGCAGGCCCCGGAAAGACCCCATCCCCAAAGCCCCTGTGGCCACCGTGGCCATGAGAGGGGCCCCCAGCCCTCCTGCCCCCTCCACATCCACCGTGTGGGCCCCCCTGGCCCCCAGCCCCCCACAGCCCACAGGTGGGTGCCCAGCTCCAGCCCAGCTCACCCGCCCTGCCCCCACCTCTGTGATGTGCGCTGCTGTAGGGGCTTGGCTCTTAGACTAGAGAACACTAGACCCTAGAGCCACGAGAGAGGGGGGCTGAGGGGCCTGCTGGCCGTCCGGGCCCACCTGTTCCTGGGCCTCTGCCAGGGGATCTGGGGCTCCCTTCAAGTCTGAATCCTTCTACCTCCTGCCCCCGCCCCCCGCCCCAGCACTGCTCAGGAAAATCCCGGAGCCCGGCATGGCCGAGAGAACAGGGCGACCGAAGCCTGGGGGGTGGGTGGGGGTGGGGGGGTCTCAGTGACATCCAGGCCACACGAAGTTCACCTGAAGCCTGCCTCCCAGGGGAGCTCCTGCCTCAGTGCTCCGTGGAACAGCCCCAGGCCCTGCCCCCCCCCCCCCCCCCCCCGCCCTGCCTCCAGGGCCTCAGCACCCGACCCCTGGGAGTAGACAGCGCAGACTAACCACGAGGGCGAGTTCCTCTGAGCAGCAAGGCCCAAGGGCGCGGCTGGGCCAGTGCAGCATGGCCAGGAGGGCATGGCCGAGGGAATTCTTCCAGGTCCCGGCTGGGAGGGGGGCTGGGCAGTGTTCCCGCAGAGAGGAGATGGCAGGGGGCCCTCGCTCCTTGGACAGTGCCGTGACCCTTCCTCTCTCCGCACACGCGCCTGTGGAGCGGCCAGGCACCATCTCCAGGGGGCACAGGCCCCTCCTTCAGCTGGGGAAGGGATCCACACTCAGCCTCCCCTGCCTTGGCCTGGAGTGGGGCTTAGCCCTCTCCAAACTGGGGTGAATGCTGTGGAAAAGTCCCCTTTGTTCCTGGGCCGTCTGGCTTAGCTCCTCTGTGGGACCCAGAGGGTGACACACCCCGGCTCTTTTTATTTCTGCTTTCCGAGGCAGGGGCTGGTCAGGAGATCCAGGAATTACAGGGGAGCCTCCTGGCCCAGGGACCCTCTTTGGGGCGAAGGCTGGGTCCACGGTGGGCTGGCTCAGCCGCCTGAGGCTTGTGCTTGGTTTTGCTAAGTCTGTGATGGGCAAACAAGGAGCAAAATTCTCTGTAGTGGGTGCTGTGTCTGCCTGCAAACAGTGGTCTGTCTGGGTGGGGACCAGATGCTCTATCTCACACACACACACACACACACACACACACACACACACACACACAATGAGAAACCTTGAACCTGTTTTCTGAGCTGCTTCGGATTTGGTGCACGAGGTTCAGGGCAGGCCACACAGCTGGGAGGTAAGGAGACAGTCCGAACCAGGGCGGTGAGCCAGGCGAGGCGGGTTTGAATCATGAGGGTCCCCGGGACCCAAGTGGAGAGAAGGCGCACCCCTCAAACATTCAGTGGGTCGTGGTCCGCTTTGCGTGGCGAGCCCAGTGCTGGGCAGCAGGGCGCTCAGGGGAGAAGGTGGCTCTAGCGTGACAGTCAGTGACCCAGCAACCCACATCTTGGGGGTCATCGCTCCTCTAAGCAGCTGAAGCCTGTGCCCTCGACCCCCACTAATAATGACAGTCCCTCCCGTTGGCAGAGTGGGAGTTCTCCTGGGCCCACAGTCCTGAAGGGATAGGACACAGGAGAGGATGGTGAGGCTTAGGAAGAAGCAGGTGGATTTCATGGTATGTAAATTACTCTTCAATAAAGCTCTTTTAGAAGAAAGAAAGAGCCGCTCAAGGTAATAGGATTACAGAGATGCATAGGGAGGATTCGAACTTGGGGCTCACTGACTCCAGAGAATAGATAGCTGCCTCCTTGGCCACCCAGTGCCACCACCCCCAAGCCCCAGAGGCTGAGAGCTGTGCCGTCTTTAAGACCCAGCTTGAGCCACTCCCTGATTCCAAAGGAACAGACGGGACCTCCATCGACACCGGCCGCTGTGAGAATGTTCTTCCTGCGCACCTGAGCGTGACCCGGGGAGCCCGGACAGGGGTCTTTCTTGCCCCCAGATCCCAGCCCCCAGAAAGGTCCTGAGTCTCCCCCAGGTGCCTCCCAACAGGTGCTTCAGACTCTTGGACCAAAGTCTAGCTGGGCCTGTGACCGTCTGGCCCAGATGTTTCTCCCTCTTGCCCGTGTCAAGCTGTCTGCAGGGTAGAGGCTGCAGGGCAGGCAGAGCTTCTCGGGATCACTAATCCTCACCCCGCAGAGGGCGGTGGGGGAAAGGCTCTAAAGCACAAAGGCTTCGGGGCTGGCTTTGTTTCGGCTCTAATTAAGCCCTTGCCAATTTGGGTCCTGCAGACTCCTCTCCTCGCTGAGCGCCGTATTAATGTCAATTTGATGTCCAAAGGCTCCCAGCTCCCAGTTGGAAAGCCTCCTGCACTTTTCAGCTGGTAGATTTTCTGTCTCTCCCCACCAACCGGCATCGTGCGTAATCCCTTTAAGAAGCGGAAAGAATCCGATTCTCCCCTGTCCCTTTGGGTTTGTCTTTTGAAATTCAGCGCACAGAGCAATGCCTTCTGGGGAGGGCGGGTCAGATGGTGGAAGGGCTCTGGTCCCCACATTGGTGTGGGACAGGCAGCCTTTCAAGGACCGATCTGGACACACTTGACGGCCCCCGCTTCCCTTTACAGCCGTTAGCCAGGGACTTCTGCAGAGAGGCCTGGGCCCAAATACTGGACTGGACCCCACTCTACCCCCAGTAGGGGTGGGGACAACACAGGGCGGGCACAAGAGTGGTGTTAGCCAGGTGTCCCGCCGAAGGAAGGGCTGCTCCCAGTGTGCAGAGTCTCGGGCTCAGCCCCCACTCTCCTCTGGCTTCAGAAACAGGCTGTAGTAGTGTAGATGCTGCCTCTTCGTAGATGTGGGCCCAGTTCCACTTGGCCAGTAGAGACCAAGCTGCTTCTTACAGTGCTGCTTCTGCGAAAGGTCCCGTGGTTGTGTGGCGACTCAGTGTACGCCCCAGATCCCCCAGCCCCACCCTGTCACATAACTGGGTTTCTCCTTTTCTTTCCACCCCCCCGCCCGCCAAGAATGGATCAGGCCATCTACAGCCGCCCCCCTTGGGGAGAGCTCTCCCTGGCCCCAGACGCCCTCCACTGCTGAAGGTATGGGGGCAGGAGAGCTCCTGTGTAGCGGAGGTAGCAGGTGTAGGCGCTGGGACCCCAGGTGGGAGGGGGCCCGTGGGAGCCGAGGGGAGGGGTCTTGGAGATCCACCCGCCCACACCCCTGCTCTCACCTTCTTAGAGAGATTCAGTGGGACGTCACCAGGCCCAACCTCTATTAATCCTACACTCTGCCCACGGGCTTCAGAGCCAAGTGGGGACTCTGCCCTGACCACAGGAAGCCTGTCCCGCCACTGTCAGCCACAGGACACGCAGGGCAGGGTGGAGCTGGAGAGAGCCAGGCCTTCCTGCAGGAGTGGGGTGGCAGACCCAGGCAGAGGGGCTGGCTACGGGTAGATGAAAGAAGATAGCTCATTCCAGTGGCAGCACCAGCTAGGGCCAAGGCCTGGCAGTGGGGGGGTGGCTGTGACCGGGGTAGGGGCCATCATAGACGGTGCCAAGCCGGTACCAAGCCCAGAGCCTCAGTCTCCCACAGCAGTGAGAGGAGACACACGCAGGCTCGTCTGTAGCCTCGATGGACATGCACTTGAAGCACATGGGGCCTTGCCCGACTCTCCAAGGAGGGAGGCCCCTTCCATCCCCACTCACCCGCACCGTGGACGTTGGGTCCTGATGCTTGCTTGAGGGCCACCGGCCGCACGCCCAGAGCCCCTCTAGGAGCAGTGAGCAGGGCTCTGAGCGCCCTCTGCCGGCAGGCAGTTCTGGAGCGTAAGCCACAATCAGCGAGGGTCTGCACTTACCAGCAGCCGGAGGAGCCCTTCACCCTCCCTGGTGGACCAACGAGGGCCCCACAGACTCCCAGAGGGAGCTGAGCCCTGAGCCGACTGGCTGCCGGGATAGTGTGCTGCTCACTCACAAAGATGGGGCCTGGCCCCGGGGGAGTTCGGATGCGGAAGGCAGGTGCTGTCCGTGTTCATGGCTCAAAACACCTACAGGCAGGGAGTCTGTGGATTGTAAAGGACTCACTCTGGCTGGAGCAGGGGGATTGCTTCAGAAAGGGAGATGCCAAAGCCTTGTACACCAGGTCCACACTCTGGGTTTAGATGCCCGCGGGAGTTTGGAGAGGAGAGAAGAGAGCAAAGTGATATTTGCAATCAGTCAGAAAATCGTTCAGCTTCAGCAAGGCGCTTAGCGTGCCGTCGAGGGATGCTGGGGGTAGAGAAGTAATTTGGGAGAATTAATCCAGCCGAGTGTGTAAGTGGTGTCCGAAGAGGCACCAGAGGCAGAGGGCTGCTGCTTCTGCATGCTCCTGGATGTGCTGTGTCCCCTCAAATCTGAGCAGGCGACAAGGCTGCCCCAGAGCATGCCCGGAGCCCCGTGGGATTCTCTGCTGGGCTGTCCCCGGGCTCGGACACCCTGCCCTTGGCAGCTGGACAGTGGCAACGCAAGAGCTTATTTCTCATTTCTCCAAGTTGTGGGCACCTTTGCTGCTGCCCCTGCCCCGGCTTCCAGACCTTTCCAGCTCAAGCCCAAATCTGCTGAAGTGGTGCCCATTGAAGAATTCCAAGGTAAGAAGATGGCCCTGGGCTGGACTCAGCCCTCCTCCACCACCTCTCACCCCCACCCCCCTCCACTGGAAAACAATGATACAGGACAGAGGACCGGTGCCTGGCTCCGAAAACCCTCCTGGAGTAGCTGGGTCAAGGTGAAACTGAGCCTCTCTTCCCTCGGTCCTCCCTCCCCAAGGGAGCTGGGAGCAGGTATGAGTCAGACGCACAGTGGGCAGGCACGGGGCACGCAGAGCAGCTACCAGAAATAGCCTGGCCCGGCTCCCCTGGGAGGTGTAGCCCAGGGGCTCATCTTGGTTGAAGCAAGAGCCGGAACACCGGGGTCACAGACGCGACTCCTTGAGACACTTGGAAGACGGCTCACCTTCTCATTGCTCCTGGAGGCACAGGCGAAGGAGGCAGGTCCGGGAGGCCAAAGGCGTGGCATGCCCACCGTCTCCTCCTGGGCACAGCTCCGAGGCTCGCTTCTCCAAGGTCTCCTGTGCCCGTGGTCAACAAGACCTCATCTATTCCTTCCTCTCCCATCACAGAAGGGAGGTTCGGTCCTCTAGAGAGGCACAGATGACATCTCAGGAGAGTGGCCAGCGTCTTTTCTGTTCAAGGGGGTGCTGAGCCCCTTAAGAGGGGCACCAAGGGGTGGGTGGCCGCCTCCTTGGAGCGGGGAGCCAAGCCCCACGCCTTCAGGATGTTTTGCCCAGTCCCTGGAGCAGGGAGCAGGCTGGAAGGGACAGCCCGATGCACAGGGGCGGCTGTCTCAGTGTGGGTGGGGCCGTGTACCTGCAGCCGGAGTCCAAGGCCAGGCCAAGACTATCAGGAGGCCAAAGGAGATGCCCGGGGCACAAACCCTAAGATGGCACTCGTTCTCAGGGCCGTGCAAGACGGGGCCCTCTGGTGCCAACCACGTTTGCAGAACAGCTCAGGCTAATAATAAAAGGTCCGGCAGGTGGGCGTTTTCCGTCCAATGATCTTCCAAAGCAGCATGTGGAGGAAGCTTCTGGCCCGGTCCAGCTTGCCCAGCATCCCCGCATGCGTCTGTCCTTCACTGAGTCACTGGGGGCACCGCGGAGAGCGCCACGCACCCAGGCGCTGTCCTTCCTGAGCTCGCGCCGGCTGCATGGCCCATCCTCCCCGCATGAATCATTCCCAGTCACCCTGGCATCCCACGGGCACCCTCCCGAGAGCACCTCACCCTGGCACCCGGCCAGGCGGGTGCTGTCCACCGGCCCTCCCTGGATCCCCGCCCCCAGGGCCAGCTGGGAACTTGCCGGGTGGGCGTCCACACCAGTCCGCATTTGTGCTCAAAGGTGGCAGGCCTGTCCCTTCCCAGTTGGCAGGGAGTGTTGGAGGCCCCTGGCACCTTCCTGCTCCCTGCACGTCCTGGGCTGGTCTGTGCCCTCCCCGTGCCTCAGTTTCCCCCAATACACGGTGCAGGGGGTGGCAGGAAGGCCCCGTCTCCCTTGGCTCACTGACCCGTGGTGTTTCTCACACTCGGCCGGCCCAGACTGTGAATGTTACGGCCACTCCAACCGCTGCAGCTACATCGACTTCCTGAACGTGGTGACATGTGTCAGCTGCAAACACAACACGCGGGGCCAGCACTGCCAGCACTGCCGTCTGGGCTACTACCGCAACGGCTCCGCCGAGCTGGACGACGAGAACGTGTGCATCGGTGAGCCGCTCGCGCTGGGCTGCGGGGCGAGGCGTAGGCGCGGCTAGGGGGCGGGCGCCAGGCCGGGTCCAATGACCCCTGGTTCAGAATGCCCCCGGGGGAGCCCGAGCAACTGTCATTTCCGGGGCCCGCTTCAGCCAGGCGTCTCCAAAGACGGAAGCCTCTGGAATCTGCTCTATGAGTAACCTCCCCACGCAGTGATCCCCACAGAACCACTAGTTACAGTCAAAGAGTGGTTCTAGAGCTTGCTATGTGCCTCAGTTTCCCTGCTTGTAAATTGGGGAAGTGGATTAGGTCAAAGGTTGGGTTTAAAAAATTTTTTTTAATGTTTTATTTATTTCTGAGAGAGAGAGACCGCATGAGCAGGGGAGGGACAGAGAGAGAGGGAGATACAGAATCTGAGCCGGACGCGGTGCTTGAACTCATGAACCGTGATATCATGACCTGAGCTGAAGTCAGACACTTAACCGATTGAGCCACTCAGGCACCCCTAAAGGTTGTGTGTGTGTGTGTGTGTGTGTGTTTTAAGTTCATTTCTTTTGAGAGAGAGAGAGAATCCCAAGCAGGCTCTGCACTGTCAGGGCGGAGCCCGACACAGGGCTCAAACTCACAGGCTCATGAGAACATGACCTGAGCCTGAAATCGAGAGTCAGACGCTTAACCCACTGAACCCACCCAGAAGCCTCTAGATCAAAGGTTTTCAGCTCATTTTTTTTGTGGCTGAAGCTTTTCTTCCAATGAAGTCTTTTCAGTGCTTTATAAGCAGAGGCCCAGCTTCTAAGACCCAGTGTGCACTCAGTCTGCTCTCTTCACGCTCTGCTCCAGGACTGGCGTTGGTGTAGAGAAGCAATCTGTGGGGGCCCCGGGCTCCGGGCACGGGCAGGCCATCCCCACAGGCCAGACCCATGGCCCCAGCCAACGCCTGCCCACCACCCCTGCCTCTGTCTCCAGTTGAGGCCAGTGCTCAGTCCTAGGGTGCCCAACCCCCTTGGCACCCCACTGCCCATCCTCCACCCACCAGGTCAGCTCTGGCTTCACAGAGGAGGGGCTGTCGGTCTGAACTATGGCATTGGCCTTCAGATAATTCCATCAGCTCTAAAGTGACCCAAACAGAATTGTGCTGCCGATGTCACACTGCCCAGCTGTAGGGACCGGGTGGGGCTTCCAGATCCTAGCAGAGGCATTCCCTCCCTCCCCAGTACGGTCCCTCTCTCCTTGCCTCTGTCTCTGCCTCCTCCCCCAGGCCCAGCTCTGGGTTTCAAGGACTCCCAGAGTGGGGACCTTCGCCCCTCCCACAGAGCAGAGGCCCCAAGAAACCAACTGGGAAGGGGCGGGGGAAGGCTGGAGGCCCTTGGGGCTGCTTCTCCGCGCACCCTGCGTGCTACCTGCACCCCCGGACCCCCCGGACCCAGATGCCCTGCCTCTGATGAGGCTCCTCCCACCTGTCAAGAATCTTAAAGCCCTTCGGAGCTGGGAAGGATGGGTGCTCCCTCCAGTTACACAGAGGAAGACTGAGGTCCAGAGGGGTTGGGGCTGCCCCGGGGCCAGGGAGGGGGAGTGGGTGATGGATGCTAGAGAACCCAAAACAGTGCGGGCTTCTCCCAAGACCTGGCCTCTCGGGCAGCCGTGGGCTCACGTGGACACGGGGCGGGGGGACCCGCTGGAGGGATGGGGGGCGGGTCTGCGCGGAGGACGCCCACGGAGCTCCCTGACCTCCGGCCGTGCACGTGTCCGTCCAGAGTGTAACTGCAACCAGATCGGCTCCGTGCACGACCGGTGCAACGAGACCGGCTTCTGCCAGTGCCGCGAGGGTGCAGCGGGACCCAAGTGCGACGACTGCCTCCCGACGCACTACTGGCGCCAGGGCTGCTACCGTGAGTGCACGCCCGGCGGGCGGGGCCTGCGGCGGGGGGGCGGGGCCATGGGCGTCTGTGGGCGGGGCTTTGGCGAGGGCGTGCCCGGCGGCGGGGGGCGGGGCCATGGCGTCTGTGGGCGGGGCTTTGGCGAGGGCGTGGCCGGCGGCGGCGGGCGAGGCCTGCGGCGGAGGGGCGGGGCCATGGGCGTCTGGGGGCGTGGCTTGGCGAGGGCGTGCCCAGCGGCGGTGGGCGAGGCCTGATGCGACCCGGGAATGGGGCTGGTGTCGGGTGCGAACCCGGAGGCGGCGGATCTGGGGGTTGGTTGAGAAGCGGGTCGGAGGCAGAGGCGGAGCTGGCGGTTGGCGGGGTTTGGCTGACGGGGACGGGTTTGCGGAGAGGGAGGGTGGGAGGCTGTCCGGGGAAACGATGGCCTGGCGAGACCCGAGGGTCAGTGGGCGCTCGCCTGGGGAGGAGGGGGAAGGGCAGGGAAAGGCAGGGGCGGAGCTCTGGAGGAGAGAGAGCGGGTGCGTCGCAAGGCCAGTAGGCGGGGAGCGGGGAGAGCAGGAGCCGTGGCGGGAGGAAGACGGGCCAGGTCTCGCCGGGCCATTGTCACCACCCACGCAGGGGCGTTTCTCACCGAGGGTGCCCTGAGCCTCCAACACCCCCCCCCGCCCCCGCCCGTCTCAGTCGCAGAAGCTCCAACGAGGTGGGGCGGGGGGGTGGCCTGGGCCACCGCCCGCGCTCACCGCCCCTCCGCCCCGCAGCCAACGTGTGCGACGACGACCAGCTGCTCTGCCAGAACGGCGGCACCTGCCTGCAGAACCAGCGCTGCGCCTGCCCGCGCGGCTACACCGGCGTGCGCTGCGAGCAGCCCCGCTGCGACCCCGCCGCGGAGGACGGCGGCCTGGACTGCGACCGCGCGCCCGGGGCCGCCCCGCGCCCCGCCACCCTGCTCGGCTGCCTGCTGCTGCTGGGGCTGGCCGCCCGCCTGGGCTGCTGAGCCCGGCCCCGGAGGACCCTGCGCCCTGCGCCCGGGGGTGGGGTGGGGGCCCTGGGGGCTCGAGGGCCCGAGGGGCCGGCGCCCGAGGCCGGGCGGCGAGAAGGGTGCGGCCCGAGCTGCTCCCAGGTGCTACTCAGCAGAGTCCTCCCGCCGCCTCCCGCCGCGGTGTGTGCGTGGCACCTGCCCTCGCCCCGGCACTGCCCTCCGCCGCCGCACGGTGGCGCTGTGGGGGCTCTGGCCCAGCAGCCTGCGATTTGGGTCTTAGTTTTTCTTTTGTATTACCCGCCGCCCCCACTTTTTTTTTTTTTTTTTTTTGCTGGTGGTGAGACAGGGGGTGGGGAGAAATGCTGCTCACCTCAACACCCCCGGGTCTGCCTCCCAACACACACACGCACACACACACACACACACACACACACATATGCGACTGTTGCAGACACCCCTGCGCCTGTCCCTGGCTTACCGTAGGCCAGCGGACCCCGGAACTCCTGTTGCCTACAACTCTTCTTTGTTTTCCTTTGCAAGCCACCAGACTCCGTGAGGCCTGGTGACCAAGGAACTCACCGTCTGGGGGAGGGAGTTAGGAAGGAGGGTTGGGAGGGCTGGAAACTTTGTTTTGTAGAGAACTATTTTTGTTTGTATTCACCGTCCCCTCTAAGGAGGACTCAAGCCGGAATAGGTGGTTGATGGTGTCTAACCCCACAGAGTAAAGAGTCTGCTCACTGCTGCCTCCAGGGCCTGTTTTCTTTCCGTGTTCGTTTACACCCAGCGGGTTTGAGTTGAAAGAAGGGCCCAAAATAGCCGTGGAGAAACTATTCCACCGCTTCCTGGGGCCCTTCCGTGAATGAGAACAGTCAGCCCTCCGCCCTGCGGGTGTGGATAGCAGAGCCACTCGCCACCAGTGCCCTACGTGTTAGGGGCTTCCCCAGACTATCGTCTCCTTCCTTTCCCTTAAAAAAAGAAAAAGCCCAAAGTTTATTGGCACTTTATTGGCACCAGGTGTCCTTGAATTTAGAAGCACATGGGGGACATTGATGTCATTTCTGAGAAGTCCAAGTGGAATGACTGGGGGTGCATTCTAGGAGCCTGACGCCCATGCTCCGATTTATAAATCGGGATGGGTGTGTCTCTCAGACCCATGTTTCAGGCCCAGTGTCTGCTGCTGCAGCCTCCTTCCAGGGCCCCAGCCTGGAATCGGTAGACAGAATCCACAGCCGCCTGCCCTCTCCTTCCCCTTTCCCTCCCAAAGATCACACGGATGGGGGGGGAGGGTAGCCAAGGGGACCCAGCGGTAGCCTGGGAGTTGTTACGGGACACTCTGAAGAATGGGGTCCATCAACTGAGGCCCCTTGCCGTGGGAGGGCCCCCTGAGTCCTTCCTGCCCTTGGGTTGGGTGTTATATTTCCCCTGCTTGCTCTCAAGAAGGTCCAGATTTCTCCCAGAAGATTCCCAGCCTCACAGATCGGTTCTGGTTCCCAGTTGGAGCTACAGCCTGTACCCGCAGCCACTCTTTCCAGGCTGTGAAGTTTAGACCCGCCTCCAGTCCCCAAAGCAAGGCTAAAATCGAGTTCAAGAAAACTTGGCCTTGAGGGCAACCAGATTATAATACAGCACAGGAAGGGGGAGATATGCCTGGGTATGAAATAGGATTCAAAGCCAAAGGCCAACCCTGCTGGCATCTCTCACCTCCCAGCTCCAACACCAGGTTGCAGGGATCAGCTCCCAACCCCTAAAGGAAGTGCCTTCTGTCAGGCGCCCCCCACCCCCACTTCTGCTTCTTCCTTACTGACAGAGCCCCAGTGAAAATAGGACATCCCTGGCACTCCTGTGTGTAGGAATGGGCATGTGGCACAGTTCTGGCCAATGAAATGGAAGCGGGAGTGATGCGTGGGGCTTCTAGTAAGTTCCTTAAAAGCCCCTCCCCTCCCTGCTCCCCACCCAGCTTTAGTTGGCCCAGTTTAGGGCTCTGGCCCCGCTCTCTCACCCCTCCCCCTGGTGCTCAGGAGTGAGGGAGGGGCCATCTGGCAACCCCGGGTGTGAGGGCATCCTCCTCAGGATGGCAGAGCTGAGGAGCTAGCGGAGCCAAGGGCACCAGGCCTGCCTGCCAACCTCTGCATTTCTGAACGTGTGAGAAAAAATAAATCTTGATGCGATTGAAACACTGGAATTTGGGGCTTCTGTTACATGCAGACTTAACCACTTCCTAAGTTATTGGCTCTCCCCACCCAGCACCCAGTCCACCGAGGCCGGGAGACTGATACCCTCCCTCTCTCGGCTGCAGGCCCCTGTCCCCATAGCACTGCCCACGATGACGACATCGGATCACAACATCGGGCCAACGTGTTCAGGGCCTTGCTGTCTCAAGTCACCTCTTTCCCGAACAGGATCTGCCTCTGCCTTTAAATGAGTGTGGGCCGGCCGAGCAAATCCGCCTCTAGATAAACAGTATCTGTTGGCTGCAATTTAGAAAAAATTCTTTAATGTTTTATTTAGTTTTAAGGGAGAGAGAGACAGAGTACTAGCAGGGGAGGGGCAGAGAGAGAAGGAGACACAGAATCTGAAGCAGGCTCCGGGCTCCGAGCTGTCAGCACAGAGGCCGATGCGGGGCTTGAACTCATGAACCATGAGATGGTGACCTGAGCCAAAGCAGGACACTTAATGACTGAGCCACCCCTGAGCCCCTGTTGGCTGTAATTGGTAAACAATGGTCGCCTTCCTCCTCCTCTTCCTCCTAATGATATTAAAATGTAGGGATAAAGAATATACTCCCACCTCCCCCACGCTCTCTTGTTGGGCTGTGCTGGGTGGGTCCCTGGAAAGCTCCTGAGGCTTCTAGAAGGAAAGGGGCCTCTGCGGGCAGCTGTCCTCTCCGACCTCTCTCAGCTGGACCAGCGCTGTGTCAGCTTCCCTGGGACTGGTCTGAGCGAGGGCCCGGAGGTGAAGTTCATTGTAAATCGGAGCAGCAGCCCCGGTCCCTGAGGACGCCACTGGGGCCCTGACCTCTACAGGAGCGGGGAGGGAAAGTTGCCAGTGGCCATTTGGAAAACTCTGACATTTTCCAGGCAGCTGGGCGGAAGGGGAAAACAAGGTTAGTGGGGGCCCCAAAGCCATGGCCCAGCCTCTCTTAAACAGGGCGCCCTGTCGGCGAGGTCAGGTTCCGACACCTGCTTCTGAGAGGTCAAGAGGCCAAGGCCGCCCTCACCAAGCCCCAGGTTCCCCGGCTTGGATAAGAGAGCTGCCATCTGCGGGCACCATGCACGCTTTGTCACACTGAATGTTTATCTTCACCCAGGACAGGTTTCTCCACCTGGGGGCCTTTGACCTCAGGGTGGGACACTTCCGGGAGGAGGGTGGCCGGAGGCTGTCCTCTGCCCCTGTGCGATGTTCAGGGGCATCCTAGCACCTCCTCCCCTGGTGCGACAACCCGTAGTGGATGCAGGCATTGCAGACTGGGGGTAGGGGGCAAAACTGCCCCAGGGTGCGGGCACCGCTGCCCTCCGAAGGAGGGACTGTCATACCCAGTTTGGACAAGTGGGGGGCCACCAAGGGAGGCCAGGAGAGGAGAAAGAACTGCCTTGAAGCGCACTAGCGAAGCCCAGGGGCAGGAGTGGAGTCCGGTGAGCCTGACTCCAGAGCCCAGCGTTGAACCCGGGGCCACTGCAGTCTAGGAAGGCCCAGCCAGGGGGCCTCTGCCCAGGGTGGGGCCCGCAGCCGCTCCTGTTCCTCGCTCTCCTCCCTGCGCCCCTGCAGTGAGCTCGAAGGCAGGCAGAGGGAGGAGCCCTGGGGAGCCGGGCTTCATCCGAACAGCTCTGCCGTCAGGGGAAATGCCTCCCCACTCGCCCCTCCACGGGCCTCGCCTCGCCTCGCCCCCTGCCCCCATCTGCCCCCTCTAAATAAACAGGACCGCTGTGTTAGCACTTCCTGCGGCCCCTGGCATGCGTCAGGGTTATGAGGCATTTATGAGCGCCTTGGGAGCGGCCCTCGGCACCTCCTGGAAGGCCCGGGGGAGGGGCAGGGCTGGGAGGGGGCTCACCCCACGCCCGCACCCCTGGCCTGGCCCTGCCCTTCTGGCTAGACCAGCCTCCCCCGGTCCCAGAGGGTCCCCCATGCATCTCAGGCCCGAAGAGTTAAGGGCAAAGGCCCAGGGAGGGAGAGCTTTCCTTGTGTATTTTTCCCTTTTAAAACACAAATCAGACTGCAGGCAAGTTAGAAAATATAGAGGAGTGAAATAATAATAATTTTAAAATTAAAACCACCCACAGTCCTCCATTCAGAGCTAATAACAGTTAATATTTTCTGATGTACATTCCTAGTAGTTTTCCATAAAGCAAACCCACACAGTTTTTGTGGGCATTTGTTAAACCCAGTCGTAAGCACTGGGGTCAGGCTTGACATCCTTATTTCAAGGATCCTGGCAATGAAGCCGAGGAGTGGGCTTTGTTAATAGAGCCATTTTACAGCTGAGAACACTGAGGCTCCCAGAGCTGGCCAGAGAGCTTAGGCACAGCAGAAAACCCACCTCCGGGTGACCTGAGCAGAAAAGATTATTTGAAGGCACATGTCAGGGGACCTGGTCGCACAAAGCCACGGCACCATCCTGCCCTCGATGGCCAGCGCGGCTGTCCCTGTGGGCCCAGATGCCGCCAGGGACACTGCCCTCACCCCAGGCCTGCCTCCTGCTGGGTCCTCACCAGGCGCGCGCTGCCTCGTGTCCAGCATTTTCCACTCCACCAAGGGAGAGGGTCTCTCTTCCCCAACCGGAGGCGGGCCGCAAACAATGGCTCTCCAGCACAGAGAGGGCAGGCGAGCTGCCCAGAGTCACACAGCCAGAAGAGGCAGCGTCCAGGATGCGAATCCAGCCTCTCCAGCACAGACCCCAGCTTTGAACGTTGAACTTCTTGTTGCCACCTTTTCCCTCGATTTTATTTTTTAAAACAATAAAGGCTTCCTCTTGTATACACCCTTCTTTAGAACCTGCTTTATAAAATTGACCAGAATGTCCTGAATATCCAAGGGGGTCTTCTGTGATTGCAAAGAAAATGCAGAGCCCGATTCTTTCATTCGTTGCTTCCTCCTGAGCCCTCTTCCCGCCCAGACCCTGCGCTCCTGGGCGATGGGTCTCCGGCTCCTCCCAGGGAGGGGCCACTGCCGGGCCCAAGTGCTCCTCCAACACGACGGGCCAACCAGGCGCCCAGAGTCCCCGTGACTGGGTTCCTGGTGGCACAGCAGAGGCCAGAAGACCAGGGGAAGCACCTGACGGCTTCTGGCCGGAGGACGTTTCCTTTGCTGACCAAGCAGGTGGCCCTGGGGACCCGGCCGGGAGCTCTGGGACAGTGCCCTGGAGCTGGCACCAAAGGCACTGGGGCCCGTCCCACGCTGGACATTCACAGTGGACCCCGGGCTCTCATTTCTCCCCCTGAAGGGGAGGGGGTTCCAAAAGCAGCAGGGGGTAGCGGCGAGGGGCACAGACTCTGGAGTCCAGCCATCTGGGTTTCAAGCTGTCTTCTGCCACCTGGATGACCTGGGGCAAGTTCCTCAGTCTCCTCAGCTGTACAGTGGGGTGGTCAAAATAGGACCTGCATCACAGGCCCATTGTGGGGATTCAGCAAGTTGAGACCGTGCTTAGAACAGCCCATGGCACCAAGCCAGCGTCAGTGAGCGCTGGCGGCTGTCATCCCCCTCCTCCTTCCCCGCCCTGACACCCCCGTGAGCGTCCCTCAGCTCTCCTCT